GGGAAGAATTCAGATATCATCTCCATCTTTCATTTTTATAGAGTGCTAAGTCTTCTCCCTGAAAGACACAAAAAACTGAATAATCTGAATATTTACAAAGCCCTGCCCACAGAGAGATAATGCTAAGGCGGCTTCAGATATGGTATGCTGCCTCAATAGTTTCCAGGTGGCAAGTATTTAAAGCGAGGTGGAGTACAGTTATTGATGGCTCAAATAGGCTGTTTGGAGTCACATAGCAGGCATACCAGGAAAAGGGTTTACCCCCCTTAACTAAAGCTATACAGATAAGCTATTCATATTCTTCACTGTTTCCAAACAAGATAGTTACATTAAGTACACTTTAACCACAATAATCAAAAATCAAAATTTTTAGACTCACCAATAAACAAAGATATGCATGTCTTAAATCATGATTTATAAACTTTGGAGGGGAATTGTTTTTATTGATAAGGCCTCTTTTGGTGTATAATTGAAACCAACTTCAGCTTATTAAAAAAATACCCTTGCCAGGATATTTTTTAAATATGCAGTTTCTTCTTGTGCTGTTATAAAGAGAGGAGAGGGGCCAGGATTTACTTCAGTGGCACTGTGCCTGCCTTGAAAGTGAAGATCCTGAGTTCGATCCTGGGTACAAAAAAAAGAGGATAATTTCTGAAGTTTCAAAGTTAATTGAGTTTTAAGCACCACTCCAAACCCTTTACTACAAGCAGAGTGCATGAATATACACATATATCTTCAAGTATAAAGATTTTGAAGCTATCAGAGGCACTGCATAGTTAACTTATATATTATGTCCCTCACATTCTCTTGCATCTCTTCATGGACAGTACTACCAGGACATAAAGGACTGGTGGCTCTTCGGGTTCTACTTCTGCATGCCCTTGGTGTGCACTGCAATCTTCTACACCCTCACGACCTGCGAGATGTTAAACCGGAGGAATGGCAGCTTGAGAATTGCCCTCAGTGAACATCTTAAACAGGTAAATCTATTATGATCATGAATACCTGGCCAAGACTTTTTGAAATCAGGAAGATGACAAATAGTCTTTTACTTCATAACAGTATTTCAGTGTCAGACTGCACATGTGACCGTGGTTCCATGGGATTCTAGTGGAGCTGGAAAATTCTCATTGTTTAGTATTTTTACTGTACCTTTTCTGTGCCTCGATATGTTTAGACACACAAACACTACTATGGGACAATTGCCTATGGTAATCAGGGCAGCATTATGCTGTACATGTATGTAGCCTAAAAGCAATTGGCTGTTCCATGTAGCCTAGGTATGCAGCAGGCTCTGCCATCTAGGTTTGTGCAGGTACACTCCATGGTGTTTACAAGAAGATGAAATTGCCTAACTATGCATATCTCAGGTCATATCCCTGTCCTTAAGCAACTCATGACCATATTATCTGTAGCAGATTTTGCCTGGTTTTCTAAAAATAAACATACTGTCTTGTAATTTTTTTATATAGTTACACTTTAGGAATTCCTTTTGTGAACTGGGGAGTTCCCCTGTAAAACAGATGGCCCTGGAGGCTGGGTCCAAAGGGAGAGGAACTATTCATTTAGTTTGCCAAGAATGTACTGAGCACGTGTATGTGGGTGTCTATATGTTATTTAGATTTGGAACTATGCCAAGACAGAAAGAAGCATATGATTTCCTTCCCTTGCAAACTTTACAGTCTAGTTGTAGAAATAAAATATAAACACGAAACAATTAGAAAGCAGAATGATAAAGTATGGTCCAAGTACCTTGTATTATAGAAGCTGGAAGGAATAAGAAATAGAATCATAGTGAAACTATTCATGAGTGAGGAAGATTGAACCAGACCTTGGAGGATAAATGGCATTTGATGGGGAAGAAGAGGACAGAAGCTATTTCAGTTGGAAAGAATAGAGTCTTGCCAGAACATGGAATGGGCACCATGTGTTTGGGGAGTAGGAAAAAAGGAGATGAACTTTATTAAAGCATCATAAAAGACACTTAAAAGGAAATAGGATTGAGTACATAGAAAGAGGTAAAATTTTGGAGAGTCCAAAGTTCTAGAAAGAATTTGAACATGTCAGTAGGGTAGCAAATGTTGGACAGCAAATAGAATAATAATGCTTTAGGCTTTACAAAGCAAAACTTGATTCTTATACTTTTGGGCTAGGCGACCTTGGGCAAATTGTTTATCCTCTCTCAGCTTTTCATAAGGTGTATGCACTAATACATCACAGGGACTTCCTAAGCCAGGTAAGGTGCCTAGTAGTCCCCAATTCTAGTAGATACTCAACAAATGTTAATTTATTAATTCAAAGTAAAGCTATGACTGCAGGTCAGTTTTCAGTCAGTGGAGGAATATGTAAGAACATCCAAGCACACCAGAAGTTACTGTGTGTTGGAGAGTGTAAATCTACCCTATGTAATTATCAAACACATGCATCACTCTTCGTCAGCAGCTCTTTCAACTACTGTACTGATTTTTTCAGGCTGCAGCTCTTCATCTGTAAATTGGGCATAATAAGGTTTGAACTGATGTTATGAGAATGAAAGGAATTGATGTAGATGCATGTACTGTGTAAACTCTAATATGTCGTACAAATGGTAACTATTATCCTTTATTGACATTTAGCAGGCCAATTACCTTAGTAAATGTTAATATGACTTTGTTCAGGCATTAATGTTTCAAATACTCTGATGTGAATATACTAAGCAATTATTAACTCTCACCCTTGCAGTGAGGTGATTAATTGGATAAGATTTGTGAAACAGAGTATTTAAAATGTTTTTTGCATTAGTATCATTACTGAGTCTTCTTAAGCTCTGAGTAGTACCTGCTCTGAAAATAATTAAATAGGGATTGAGAATAAAATAATAATAATAATCTGCTTCATTTTTACGTAGTGTTTTTAAGTCTTTTTTTTTTTTTTTTTTTTGGTACCGGGGATCAAACTCGGGTCCTTGTGCTTGCACAGCAGGCAGCGAAATCACTGAGCTAAATCCCCCACCCCTTAAGTCTTTTAAAAAACACTTCAGTGTCTTTTGCACTATGTTCCTGTCTATGTTTTAGGAAGAATAAATTTACACCAGTGGTTAAGAGATTTGCTCAACTAAATGGCACTTAGGAATCAAGATTTTGTCCACATGAAGCTGGTATTTGGTTTGGTCATGCTCAAAGCTTTAGTAAGTTCTAACAGCAGTAAAGCAGGGTTGGCTGGAAATCCTTGAAGCGGGACTATGAAATCACTAGCATGAGGTAGAAAGCCTTCCACTCTCTGACTAGTATTCTATGGGACTCCTGTTCTTACTTCTTACATGGTTGTCTCTAA